TAACTCCCTGTGTAGGGGAGGTTGACCCTGAACTTGGTGATCCTTGTGATCCTCCTGCCCCAGCCTCCTGAGTGCTGGAATTACAGGTGTGGCCACCATGAACAACTGCTGCCCTGTTTTTTGTTTGTTTATTTTTTTCAATTTGGAAGCAGATATTTTATTTTATTTTTTTTGTGGAACCGGGGATTGAACTCGGGTCCTTATACTTGCCAAGGAAGCACTTATTCCACTGAGCCATCTCCCCGGCCCCAGCAGATATTTTTTTAACTGACCAAATCATAAAAACACCATGGTGGATACCTTAGTTCATCCTTCTAATAAGCCTGTTGATCTGGTCTTCCCTATTTCTAGCATCTCCACCTTCCACAAAATGGGTGGTCTTTTTCTTCATTCCAGAATGGCAACAGGAAGTTATTTGCCTCTTTGAAGCATTTTCCAACAGTATAGATCTCATGAATCAGATCCTCCATGCAGATGATGCCATATTTACCAAGAATTTGAGCAATCAATGAATTATGGCAAGGCAATTCGCTTCTTACTGATTTTGCCATAGCCACGCTTGTATATTAATTCATTCACTGACTTCAGGTTTGGTTGCCCCTATGCAATGTATGGCTCCACAGTTCTCAGCATGTTAATTGAAGCCTTGTTGAGCTTAATGTAGGTACAATTGAAGATTTGGCGAAGATGAAGAAGCTGCAACACCATGCAGACCTTTGGGCTCACACCATTGATACCCCTGATATGGAAGACAAGTGCCAGTTTGGGCTCTGTAGGGACATAGAAGTTGCTAGCTTTTCTTGCCATCCTAGTCATTCAGATCTCAATTCTGTACGTCTGTCTGTACTCCTTAGGATAGTGCCTGGCTTTTTCATAAATGAGCTGCCTCCTCACCTTACAAAGCATCTTCTGGGCAAATTTCTTTCTCAGATGCTTTATCTCCATCTCTGCAAAATGTCACTTTTTCTTAAGGGTTTCTGGCACAGCAGCAACCTTCTTTTTCTTTTCTTCTATACCCTCCATGGTTCCAGCCAGAAAAAGAGTGCCCTGTTTTCTTGATAAACCTGTGGAAGAGTAAGGATTGAGATGATTGTGATCTTCTTTTCTTTTCTTTCCTTTTTTTTGCAGAACTGGGGATTGAACTCAGGCCCTTGTGCTTGCCAAGCAAGTGCTTAGTCTACTAAGCCATCTCCCCAGCCCCAGGATCTTATTTTCTTTTTGTGTGTGGCCAGCTCAGCCTACCATGGGGGAGGGCACAAACGCTTTGCCTAAAGCTTGCCTAAGCAGGCACTTTAGACCCAGACTGCTATCTCGCCAGTCAATTGTTGTCTTATTTTCAAGACAGGAACTCAAATAGAATGGCCAGCATGATCCAAAGAAAAAGAAGTTCGTTGGGAGAAATAAAACACCAATTTAGAGTGCAGGTAGAATATAATTGGTAGGGCTGATAAGTGGTATTTGACTCAAAGTGCAGAGTTTAGTGGTTATGTATGCCAATGAGTTAATCTTTTTTTTTTTTTTTTTTTTTTTAAATCAGATGGAATTACCATGTGGATTGACAAACCTTGGTAACACTTGTTACATGAATGCTACAGTCCAATGCATTCGTTCTGTGCCTGAACTCAAAGATGCCCTTAAAAGGTAAGTTTGGAGAGAAATGGCTCAAATCTTGTTCCTCTAAGGGAGTTTCACCTTGGTGTGAGTAGGATTGTTTTGGTTTTAGCATCTTCATTGGCACAGTCATGTGTCTTACTGATTGATAGTTTTTTTAAAGTGTTTAGTGGTTTTTATTATAAGGTCAATCAGTTATCAAATCTATGTTTAGAGCCCTCTCCAAAATAACCTTATTTGTTGACAGTCACTTTCTGTATCCTTTTACTCACCTCCTGCTCTAGGCAACCATTAATCTCCTTCTAGTCTTTGTATTTGCCTATTAAGTATATTTCATATGAATGGAATCATATACTGTGTGACTTTGTGACTGGTTTCTTTGACTTAGCATAGTAATTTCAAGGTCATTTTTATGTTGTAGGATGTATTAATACTTTATTCCTTTAAAATATTTCATTGAATGCTTATATAAGATGTTGTTTCTTCATACATTCTATTGACATTTGGATTTGGATGTTGGCATTTGGATTGTATACATTTTTTAGCCCTATGTGTAAGTTTTTGTGTGGAAAAACTTTATTTTCTGAGTTACATATCTAGGAGTAGATTACTCAGTCATGTAGTATGGCTGTGACAGAATCCCTGAGAAAAATCAACTTAAAGAAGGAAAGATTTATTTTGGGTCATAGTCTGAAGTGTTTCAGTTTGAGATCTGTTGCCTGCATTTTTTCTGGGCCCACAGTGAGGCAGAGTGTGGTGGCAGAAGGGTTTATAGGAGTAAAGCTGCTCACCTTACAGTGGCCTGAAAGCAGAGGGAAAGCAGGAGCCAGAGGGGAAGGGTCCTGTGCAAGATACCGTCCCCGAGGCCACACACATCCCATGACCCACACTGTAACTCCTAAGTCTTCAGCACTTCTTGCTAGTGCCATAAAAATACCAGTCCATCACTGTACTGTGCGATGGTGTTAGGCTCCTAGAGATCCAGTCCCTTTCCCAAAGTGCCATCTCTGAACGTGAGTCTTTTGGGGGACATTTTAGATCCAAACCTGGACTGGTGGGGAACAGCCAGAAGTCACTTGGTTCCAAATCTGGTGAATAAGGTGGATGAGGGTACACCTGAACTTTTTTCTTTTTTTGGTACTGGAAATTGAACTGATGACCTCCCACCAAATGTTTTTAATGAGCCTGCTTTTCTTTTGGATGGCACTAATTAGCAACATTTGCCATATTTATATTTTTTAAAAGAGGATACAAAATAGTAAAAAAAAGAAACAGTACAGAATTTCACTAAACAAAATAATAGAAATTCAATAGTGGTTATTTTGCATAATATTATCTTCAAATTAATTGTTTAGATTATAAAATATAAGCATGTAAAATTGGCAAAGAAAGTAAGAATTTTAAAAAAATCAAGCATTAACTGTTCCTTACAGTAGACCAGCAGAAATCAGCAATACAATTATCAAAGCTATATATGTGTGTGTATATATGTGTGTCTGTGTGTGTGTGTGTGTGTGTATGTATCTTTTTCCCTTGCTACTTTTTTTTCTTCATCCCAGTTCTTCCTTCCCTTTGACACACTGATTTCCATAGTAGTTATACCAGTCCACACTCGGACCAACAGTGGAGAAGGTTTCCTTTTTCCCCACGATTCCTCCAGCTTTTGTTATTGGTTGACTTCTTGATGATAGACATTCTTTCTGGAGTGAGATGGAATCTCAGTGTTGTTTCAATTTGCATTTCTCAACGATGGGCTGGTGTGATAACCTCAGCGGACTAAAGTGCCTGCAAGTGTAAGCTTAAGCAAGCACAGGGATTACAGTTCAATTCCTGCTACCACATGCTGTACCAGCCCCACCCCCAGGGCAGGCTGAGCAGGCCAAAAAAAACCCCAATGATGTTGAACATTTTTTCATATGTTTGTTATTTGTGTTTCTCTGAGAAGTGCATGTTCATCTCATATGCATTTTTGTTTTTTGGGTTTTTTTTTCCCATAATTTTATTGAGAAACAAATAGCAATGAGACAGTTTCAAATTAAATTAATAGGACAGTTTCAATAATTAACACATTGCATACATTCTTCTTAGTGGTTATTTGCTGTACAAGATGCAGACATGACATCCTATTTACAAACACTATTAGAACAAATCCCTCTATTCATTAAGAGAATGTAACTATAAGTCTATACTAACCATTTTGAATACACAGATACAAAATGGACATTCATCTGTATCCCCTTTTTTGTTTAGTTCCGTCATTTGAATATTATAGGTGTGTTAACTCAGCAAAATATTCTAAAAGAGTCCAGTAGTCCATAATAGTATTGGGTCTTCCGCTTGACTGGCAATGTCAGAAATTGTTGACCTGAGTCCCCTACAGCTCAACATAACATCATGGCTTTACGTCTTATACTTTGTTTTTATACTTTTCTGCTGGATGGTTAAGACCAAGATAAAGCAAGACCTATACAACAAGAGTTGTAGCTTTTGGGTCTGATAAGGTCAGTGAAATCCCCTCAGGATTTATCCTGAGATCCTGTATCTCAGATTGTAGAAGCTTTGTCAGTTTCAGCCATGTGGATGAGTCACGGCCATTGCTTGGCCAATGTGTTCTCTGTGAAAGCCTGAGAGAATGTTTTCTCTCCATGGGACTCCTTGGGCACACTCTACATCATCGATCACTTTCCTCTTTGGCCTCATAATATCCTTGATGAGAAAATTTGGGACACTGTTGAGTTACATGACATTACAGTACAAGTTCTCATATGTCCTGAGTCTTAATTGACCTTGGAAGGCTAGGGCCAAAATGTTGGCTTTCCTTGTAGCCCTCCTTTTTCTCTAATTTTGGTCTGCAAACTTAGGTTGTTAACCATCCAGAAGACAAGCTTATTGTTATTATCAAACGATTTAGGCTATGAAGCTTAACCTCACTATCTCACTGCATTTCAAACATATTAGGCATAATAAGGAACAGTTATTTTTCATCAAGTTTTGATATGTTGAACTTTAAGTCCCTACAGAATATGATGAAAAAACATTTAAAAATGAGAATATATTTTAAAAATAGGCATAAAGAATTATATACTTCTTATGTTTACACATAAGCCCAGAAATCTCATCATATACAACCTTGAAGCAGGACAGTCCCACAACATTCCTTTTCCTATCTCCTGCCTTCATTCACCACCCACTTCTTTTTGAACAGTCATCTACCCGAGAGACAGCACAGCAGCAACTGGCATGTCATGACAAAAGCAGCCCGTATTCAGAAGACCAGAATGACAGGCACTCCAAGCATGAACCTACTATTACAAATTACCATCTTCAGTGCAGTTGCTTTGTTCACAGGTGTCAGTATATATAGTCAGGGTGAGAATCTTTCCAATTAACTGCTAGATTCAAAAATCTGGAGATTCTCAGGATCATTGACTTGCCCATCTTGTACATATAACTGTATGGCTGGACATTGTCATGTTTCCTAGCTCTTCTCCTTTCCCTCTCTTAGTTAGTTCTCAAGATCCTGCTTTCCTTTTACTTGTATTGTACCTTTCTATTTGTATTTCTTCTTTTGAGCTCTTATACTAGGAAAACTATACGATATTTATACATGTGCATCTGCTTTATAGATACCTATTTTTGGATTGGGTCTTTGAGTTCGGTGGAGGTGAGACTCTGATTTTTCTTTTTTAAACTTTAAAAAAATCTTGGGCCAGGGAAATAGCTCAGTATAATAAACACCTGCAAGTGCAGAGTCCTGAGTTCAATCTCCGATACCGAAAACAAACAAACAAAAAAAACCCAGACAAACAAAAAACTTACTTATTTCGTTGGTACAGAGTCTCAGTACGCAGCTCGAACTCATGTGATCCTCCTGTCTCAGCCTCACCAGTTCTGGGATTATAGGCTTGTGCCACCACGCCTGGTTTCTGTGGCCGACATAGCATGCAGTTTTGGGGATCAAACTCTGGACCTTGTGCTTGTCAGGCAGGTGCTTAGAATGATGAGTTATCTCCTTAGAGATAGCTAAGGCCCCCTTAAAAATTAAAGTTTTTCTGTGTTCTAGATAGAAGTTCTTTGTTTAAAGGACAGTAAGCTAAACATTTTTCCCAATTCATGGGTTTTCTTTTTAACCTGTTGGTGATTTCTTTTGACATGCAGAAACTTCAAAAAGATGAGATCCCAATTGTTGATTCTTTTTAAGTATTTCCTGTGTAGTTTGGTTTTTGTTTATGAACTGTACCTACCTCTATGTCTTTAAGATTTCTGCCTACTTTGTCTACCAGTAGATTTAGTGTTTCTGTTTCAATATTTAAATCTTTGATCCATTTTGACTGTAATTGAGTGCATCATGATAGACATATGTGCAGTTTTAGCCTCTGCTATGTGTAAAACCAGTTTTTCCAACACCATTTGTTAGGCTATGTTTTTTCTAGTGAATATGTTTGGCCCATTTGTGAACAATAAGATGGCTGAGTGTGTTTGTGGTTCTGTGTGCATCTTCTGATTCGTTCCATTGATCCTCAAATCTGTCTCTATGCTAGAATCTATTCATAGGGAAGAAAAACCATGCTGATTTTATCACAGTAGTTTTGTAGTATAATTTTTCTTTCTTTTTTTTTTCCGGAACCAGGGATTGAACTCAGGCCCATGCGCTTGCCAGGGATGTAGTATAATTTCAAGTCAGGGACTCTGATGCCTCCTGCTTTGCCTTTGTTGTCCAGGATTGCTTTTGCTACTCTAGGTCTGTTTTGGTTCCAGATAAATTTTAGGAATGTTTTCTCTAGATCTGTGAGATATACTAATGGTATTTTAATCAGGATTGCATTGAATCTCTATAACAATTTTGGGAGAATGGCCATTTTTACAATGTTGGCTCTTATCCAGGAGCAAGGAGTATCTTTTCATTTTCTGAAATCCTCTTTGATCTCTTTTTCAGAGTACTGTAATTTTCACTGTGTATATCTTTTACTTTCTTTGTTAGATTCTTAAGTATTTCATTTTTGAATGTTACTGTGAAAGGTGTGGTTATTCACCAGATTTTTTGATTTTTTCTTTTTTTTGGAAATAGCTTAGGTTAGTCGTAAACTAGCTATATAGCCAAGGCTTGCCTCGAATTTGCAATGATCTTCCTGCCTCAGCCTCTGGAGTGCTGGATGTGCCACCACATATGGCCTCTGTCACTTTTCATAAAGGCACTCAGGAAAGAGGATTTCTAGAACTACTTTAGAAAATGGCAAGAATGAGGATTAGTGTTTTACAAATGGGGGGGG